ACAGAAAAAGTGAAGGGAAATTTTTTTTGACAGCTGAAAGGGGCTTTAAACTCTGAAAGTCAAAAGGAGATATTTGCTTAAATTGGACAAATATATAATCTTGACACTAAATGGGTTTAACTAAAGCTGAATTTGAACATGTCAAAGAAAAAAAATAAAGAACAGTAATTGATATTTGGACTTATTGGAACTTTGACTTGTAAAAAGCCCTATATAGATGAAAAAGCAGGAGAGAAAAAAGAGTGGAATTTGGACATAAACAGAGAGTGCAAAAGAAATTATTTTTGACTTTTTAAACCTAGCTTTCTCAAAAGCTTGATTTGATACAAAGTAAGTTATATCTTGATACAATAAAATAGAGACCCTGGAAAATGAAAATGGAATATTGATCATTTAAACAAAGAAAGAAGCAGGAAGAAATTATCTTGGGATTGTTTGGTGATTTTGATATAAATTTTAATTTGTGGATATTGGACTATCTGATGAATCTAGAAAAGTTAAAGAGAAATTAATAAAAGTTGATCATTGGAAATAAACTTTATAGACATTGGTTAAATTAAACTGCTGGACAGAAGTGTTTAAAAATGGCAGAATCTCTTTTGGAACTAAAAATGGAACTCAGAAATATGAAAGAAATACTACAAGAAAGAGGCAAATCATTTGGCTTTGCCGTACAATTTTTAGAAATGGAGATTCTTGAGTATGAAGAACAACAAGGAGTGGCAGAAGAGGAGCTGATTAAAGAAGAGGCCATTTTTAATGAATAATTGGAACAATGAACATTAAAGCAGACTCGAAATTCTAGACCTAGAAAAACTAGAACTACACCGCCTTCGGTCCGATCTCAGCAACAGAGTGGTCAATGTCTGGAATACTTTACCTGACTCTGTGGTTTCTTCCCCAAACCCCAAAAACTTTAACCTTAGACTGTCTACTATTGACTTCACCCCTTTCCTAAGAGGTCTGTAGGGGGTGTGCATAAGCACACCAATGTGCCTACCGTCCCTGCCCTATTGTTTTTTATATATATATTTTATTTTTCTTATATGTATCCATGTATTCATAACTATGTTTTTACTTATACCTATTATCTTGTAAGCAATTAACAAAAATAAATAAATAAATATTTGAAATAGATTTTTTAATACATTTTCATTTTGGACATAAAAACATACATTGATTTTAAGTAGGTTTTAAAACTCATTGTTATTTTAAACCTCAAAGCATAATCCTACAACTTGATTATTCAGTTTTCTCAGTTAGGCACCAAACATCTTTTCCAGTAAGAAACATGTAACACAGCACTTACTATATACAGTGTAGAGTTGTAATTGCAGGAATATTCTTATTTTGGATGGCAAACCTCAGATAAGGAATAAGCAAATACAACTCAGGCAAACAAAGTCACTAATGTAAAGGAGGATTAGAAAGAGGAAGTAAACATATGTTAGACTTTAACTAGAGGTAATTAATTGTGTTAATTACTATGCTAAACAGTAATGAAAGTCAAGCAGAAACCAAAGTTAACCAATGTTGGAGGATTACTAAAAATGTGTATAAATGCAAGACTAGACTCCAATAAAGTTCATCATGATTCAGTTGATCATGATCAAACACCTCGACTGCCTCGTCATTACAACAATACAGAAGTAGTCAGGATTGTCTTGAAGAACCATATGATTTAATTAATCATAATCATTAATCATAAATTGGTATCTGTCCTTGGACTCAGAATTTATTCCAAAATTTGCATATTACATGGCAAAAAGAGGAAGGTATTCCCATTATTGTATAGCCAAAGAAGGAACCTGCCCCATAAACCATCCCATTAATAAATCACTAGAAATACATCTCAAAGGTGAACATGCACCAAAATAAACTTTTATTTTACTATCCAAACCATCCATACACAACCTAATAAAATTCCATATATGTATATGGCAACTCCTTCAGCTTTGGGCAATATATGGACACATATGATTATGTTAATCAAAATTTACATTCACATTAAACTGAATATAACACATCCATTCTTTGATCTTGTGACAGATCTCAATTTAAGGACTTCTTTTCTCCATATCAAATTTTATGAATAAATTAAGTTAAATCAAGGTCAAGGTGATTTTTCTAAATTCCCTCAAGGTAAATTAATCTACAAAAAATCCACAAAAACAGTTCACAATAATCTAAAAATATTTCTTTAAATACAATACAAAAAGAAAAAGAGTGTTACTGTTCCTTTTAAACCTTCGTTCTTGTTTATCTTATCTCAATAGAGTGATATAGCATTTGAGGGAAAATATACCTCAGTAAACCAGCGCTGGAGGATAAGATAGAGAAGATCTCCACAGCAATAGCAAATGTAATAATAAGGATTCCCAAATGTAATAATGAGGATTCCCAAAGTTTCATTATATGAGAGATAAATAAACACTTTGGGAATACATTGATTTTTGATATTGTTGGGATATTCATCTTCTGACATTTCATGCAGACATCCATATCTGGAAAAAGAAAGAAAAAAGATATCTTTCCAAGATATCTTTTATTAGATAGAACTCATATTTAGTAGAAAACTCTAAATTCTGATGTTATTGTAGATGTAAAAGAGAGTAATATTTCACTGAATTATATTTTTGTCACATCTTATACATTATACATGAATTTGTCCTTTGTACTAATTTGACCAAATTGGTATTATGTACTAATTTGACAAATTTAATATTTTCAGATAGCATATTTTTAAACTACATCTCCATTAAATGCAAAGTAATAGCTGAACAATGCAAATCCTATGTGCTTTTCTTTTTGCTCAAGGTCTAGTCTAGTGGTTCCCAAAGTGGGCGGTACCACCCCCTGGGGGGCGGTGGAATGCCTTAGGGGGGCAGTAAGAGCCAAGGGGTGCGGCAGGGGGGTGCTAAGAGGCAGCAGGGGGTGCTGGAGGTGGGCCACTCGCAGGACACAATTCAGGGGTGAGATTTTACCAGTTCACAAGAACTGTTGTTAATGTTCCAGTAGGTTGAAGAACTGGCAAAAAGGGCCCCTGGCTGGCCCTGCACCCTCCTCCATTTTCTGCTTTCAGTCCTTATTGCACATGCATGACATTGCATGCATGCGCAACAATCGCTAACAGCATTTCCTGCCCACCCCGCCCAGTCACTCCTTATGTAGTGCACATGCACTCGTTTCCCATTTTCCCACCCGCCATTGCTATCAGCACCAGCCAGCCAGCCATCCCGCCTGACCTTCCTACCGCCATCTGATCTAGGTGAGTTACACACTGCTAGCCCACTCCAGCGTTCCTCCACTTTCCCGACGTGCCTGCCCCAAACGCAGTGGTGGCAGGAGTGGAGGAAAGCCAGAGTGGATTTGCTCTCCTTTTCAAATGTCCTGCTGCTGCTGTGTTCAAGTCAAGGCCCCACAGGTCACCCCGTTGAGCCCTTTGCATTGGAGTGTGCAGAGGTCAATTGGGTGAACCTGAGGGGCCTTGCCTCGAATGCAAGGGCAGCAGGATGTTTGAAAAGGGGAGCAAACCACTCTGGCTTTCATCCCCTTTTCCAATGTGCCTTCTGGCTTTCCTCCACTTTCTCAACATGCCTTCTGGCTTTCCTCTGCTTTCCCGATATGCCTGCCTTGAATGCAGCAGTGGCAGGATGTTTGAAAAGGGGAGAAAAACCACTCTGGCTTTCCTCTGCTTTCCCAACATGCCTTCTGGCTTTTCTCCACTTTCCCAATATGCCTGCCTTGAATGCAGCGGCAGCGGGATGTTTGAAAAGGAGAGGAAAGCCAGAGTGGCTTTGCTCTCCTTTTCAAATGTCCCATCACAGCTGCATTCAAGGTGAGGCCCCACAAGCTCACCCCATTAAGCCCCTTGCACCAGAGTGTGCAGTAGTCAATAGGGTAAACCTGAGAGAGAGGAAAAGAGAGAGAGAGAGAGAGAGAGAGAAGAAAGAGAAAAGGGACAGAAAGAAAATGTGACAGACAAAGGAAGGGGGGGATGGAAGGAAGGGACAGAAAGAAAAAGAAATAAAGAAGGAGGGAGGAAGGGAGGGAGGAGAAAATAATGAGATATCTATTCTAGTCCAATCACCTGCTCCAGCAGGGTTAGAAGGGAGTGTGTGTGTTTGTGTGTGTTCTTGTAATTTACCAGTACATTTTGGTTTTGCCTTCTTCAGAATTGGCACTGTAATACATTGGGGAAAAGTAATTTTTAGGTTTGGAGGTCTGGTCCAATGGATCCTGTTTAAGCCTCAACAAAATGTGAGAGCTTCCTGATAGTCTTGGCCATGTTTCTTCCACAAAACCTTTAATTAATAGAAGCCAAAGATGTTTCAATGTGCTGGCAAAGATGCTGGCAAAGATGTTTCAGTATGGGAAAGGACCTCTAAACTAGTCCTCATTTCAATCTGATGCATCAGCTTTCTCTGTCTCTCTCTGTCTCTTTCTCTCTCTCCCTCTCTCTCTCTCCCTCCTTCCCTCCCTCCCCCCACTCTTTCTTTGTCCCTTTTCTTTCTTTCCCTTTTCCCTTTTCTTCCTTCTTTCTTATCTCTCTCTCCCTTTACCTCTCTCTTTCTTTTCTCTCTCTCCCTTTCCTTCTCTCAGGCTCACCCCATTGATTTGGTGCACCACTTGGCTCAGACATAAAACAAATGAACAAAAATCAGCAAAGCATCTCTGATTAGATTCTCTTCACTACTAGAATCTAATCAGAGATGTTTTGCCGATTCTAGTCCAATGACATGCTCCAGAAGGGTTAGAAGGGAGTGTGTGTATATGTGTGTGCATGGCTGTCAAAACTCCAAAACAGGTCAAGTAGCTCTGGGGAGGTGAGTCATAAATATTAGGACACTTGCCAAGCAACCGGCCATTAAGCAAGAACCACTTGTACTTGGTTTAAAAAAGCACATTTCTACTACCCCACCCCACCCCGCAATTGTAATTCTTTTCAAACCAGATGTGAACATACGCATATTGTAAATATTCTGATTTTCAGAGCAGAAATGGCAGAAGCAAAAAAATCAAAGACGAAATGTAGACAATATAGTATGGAGTATCTGAATTATGGATTTATACCAGCATCATCAAACCAGCAGCTGCCACAGTGCCTAATGTGTGGGAAAATATTTTCTAATGAGGCAATGAAGCCTTGCGGACTGAACGAACATTTGAAGAAGGCACACTCTGACAAGGCAGACAAGAATCTAACTTTTTTTCAATCATTTCATGACAAATTTCAAAAGCGCCCAACACTGTCTTGTATGTTTTCTAATGCTTCCCAACAAAACACTGCAAGAGCCTTGGACAATTAAATAAAACACAGTGTGCGATACAGCTGCAATCTCGGAGCTCTGAGATCACAGCTGATATCTTCGCCCCTGGTCAGTCCCAACAGACCTAAACCGTCCCGTAGGGACGGTGATAGTAAGGGGTGCATTCTGTTGATCCCAGGGACATCGCAAAGTCCCTGGCTGATCCAGGAGAAGCCCTTTTACCATCGGCGGAGAGGCAGCCATTAAACTGCTGAAGCTGGGACAGCTCCGGAAGGAAGAGACTGAAAGAGAAAGTGTATCGGTTGGTGAGGACTTTTTTTTTTATTAATATTTGGGACTTAAGGACACCCTAAGAAGGAGAAGAAATCTGTAAGATTTTTGACAAAACTGACTTAGCGGAAATTTTTTAAAGAGAAATGTCAAAGTGAGGCTTGGCTTTTTACTTTTACCTTTTTTTTTTACTGAACTTCTATTGCAACTTAGCAATTATTAACTGGACTGGTTTTTTCTCTTATATCTACCTATTCTTTCTCTCCTTTTTGACAGTTCATATTTTTTAGAATAGAGGCTTCCTTTAGTATATATATGTGTGTGTGTGTGTGTGTGTGTGTGTGTGTGTGTGTATACACACACACATACATACATACATACATATATATCTTTTTTTTCTATTATGCTTTTTCTGGGAAAGAAGGGGGAGTGGATCAAAGAAACTTTGTAACACTGCCAACTAGAGGCTTGAAAATACTTTATTTGAAGCTGAGAGAACTGTGAAAAACTCTCTCTCAAGGACACTGGAATTTGATAAGATAGAGGGAAGAACACTGGAGAATGTTTTTACAGGTGCTCTTCGGAACTTCTATCAACAATTGAATATTTGAAGCTTGGCTTTGAAACTTGTGGAGAAGCCATAATAAGAGCCTTGGACAATTAAATAAAATGCAGTGTCTCTTTTTTATTTTTTCTTAGCTGTCTTATCCCTCCTCTTCAATCCCATAGTATTTGGTAATAATTGTATATTTATTTTTTATCTATTTTTTTTTCTTTGTAAAGGGAAAGCCTTAGAATATTTTTTTTTCTTTTCCTATTGGGATTTTTGCCTTTTGCATCTCCATTTTTGATCCATTTTTAATGGCTATTTTTTTACTTTTGAGATCTTCCAATTGGATTAAGGTGTGAAGAACCTGAAGAATTTTTTCTTTTTTCTCTCTTCTTACTATTTTTTAATACTATTAGGTTTTATTCTTTTTTTTTCTTCATTTTTAATTTTTATTTTGAATTATATTGACTATCTCACAATAGGATTAAGGTCTAGAAGAACCTGAAGAAGTTTTTCTTTTTAATTTTGGGCTTTTTTATTGTCTTTTTCTTATTTTTCTTTTTTCCTAATTGGATCATAATTGACCACACTACTAATTGAATTAAAAGAGCTTGAAGACCCTGAGTTACCTAAATAAGTAAGAAATCCATACCTTCTGGCATTTCAACCTCTGCTCCTGCTTCACCAACAGCTGGAGGACAACGTTTAACCCAGATAATGTCAAAGCAAGATAAAGGACAAGTGGATTTAAAGATGATTATGCAAGGAATTCAAGAACTTAAAATGAAATCGGATATTATTGAAAAGAAAATAGAAAGCATTGAACAAAGAGCTGAGAATATTGAACAAAGGACGGAGAGTATTGAACAAAGGACGGAGAGTATTGAACAAAGAATTGGGAAGACCGACGAAAAAATTGAAAATATTCAACAAATGATGGTGAAATATGATGAGAGACTCCAAAAAATGGAAGAGAAAGATAAGCAAAGAGACATGACAATTGGAAATATTGACAGCAGATTAACAATGGTTGAACAAGACAAAAGTGGGATGTTGAAGTGGGAGTTGGACAGGTCAGAATTCTATCTCAGATTTCAAAATAAAGAGAAGAAAAAGGACAAAACTTGGCTGCAATAATGATAGAAATCTTGGCTGGAGCCCTGGGAATATCAGAGGAAAAGATGATGGATGGAGTAGATGAGATATATCGAGTCTTCACAAGATATGCGATGAGGAACAATCTACCAAGAGAGGTTCATGTCAGATTTACAAAGAAAACTATCAAAACACAAATACTACAAGTGGCAAGAGAGAAGGCGTTGAAATATAAAGACAATAAGATTGTGGTTTTAAAACAAGTACCCAGAAAAGTGAGAGAGATGAGAAGAGAATATCAATTCCTGACTAAAATGTTATTGAAAAAGGAGGTGAATTACAGATGGTTGATTCCAGAAGGATTAATGTTTACATGGCAAGAACAGAGATACAGAATTGACTCAATTGAGAAAGCAGAAATATTTTACAATCAATTTTTCGAAAAAAGAGAAATAGAAACAGAAAAAGAGATCATCTCAACTGAATCTCAAGAGGACCAAATGGAGATGGGAAAAGAAGAAGGTGCAGTAGGTGGACAAGTGGAGACCAAAGAACAACGTGAAATAAGATCTACGAGAGCTGTTAGGCCTAAATACAAAACATAATCATGGAGGGAAAAAAATGATTTCTATGAATATAAATGGACTGAACTCAGCTATCAAAAAAAGAAAAACCTTTCATAAATTAGAAAAGTTAAAATTTGATATAATTTGCTTACAAGAAGTACACATTAAAAAACAACATGAACAATTACTGGCACGACCCAAATTAGGGAAAATATTCACTTCTCTGACCCATTGTAAGAAAAGAGGAGTGGTTTTATATATTAAAGAAACTATTACAGCAAAATTGATATATACTGACGAAGAGGGAAGAGTATTAATGGTTGAAAAAGTGGGTAATAATACAAAAACACTCCTGGTTGCAATTTATGCCCCGAATGATAAACAAGAAGATTTTTTTTAAAAACTTACATATGAAAATATTGGGACTGGACTATATTAATATACTTATGATGGGAGATTTCAATGGGATTGTAGACAATAAACTGGACTATACAGCAACAGCAATAAGACAAAATAGAAAGACTCTCCCTAAATCCTTTTTCAAAATGATAGATGAATTAAACCTAAAAGATATATGGAGAAAAAGAAATGCTAAAATTCAACAATATACTTTTTACTGAAATAGACATTTATCATGGTCCAGAATAGATATGATTTGGACCTCAACAGAATTAATATCTAATATCCAAGAAATAAATATTGAAACAAATACATGGGCAGATCATAATCCAATGACAATTAAATGGAAAGGAAAAAAAGAAGATCTAGATGGACATTAAATAATACTATTTTAAAGGAAAAAGACTTTACACAATGGATGGAGAAAGAATTGGCCTTCTTCTTTAGTCAAAATAAAAAAAAAGATACTTCAATACAGAATGTTTGGGATACAATGAAGGCATATGCGAGAGGTTTAATAATAGACTATACAAAGAAAAAGAACATTAGGAAGAGGCAAACTATTAAAGCCTTAGAAGATGATCATAAAAAAACTGGAAAAAGAATTACAGAAAATGCCACAGAAAAAAGAGATTAAACTTAAAATGGACATAATTAAACATAAAATGGGTCAGACAGAGAAAGAAGAACAGGCGCAAAAAAATAGAAGAGCTAAACAGAACTATTCTGAAGATGCAAATAGGCCAGGTAGATGGTTAGCATACAAACTGAGAAAGGAGAAAGAATCAAGGAAGATATTACAGTTAATAGATGATCAAGGCCAAATGTGCTATGGTAATAAGGAGAAAAAGGCAATTATCTGAGACTTCTATGGACAACTATATAAACAAGAGGATATTGATGAGGAAAAAGTTAAACAGTATTTACAAAATGCTAACCTACCTAAGATACCTGATGAGACTGAAAAAATGCTAGAAAGTACTATAACAATGATGGAACTAACCGAAGCACTTAACAGACAGAATAATGGAAAAGCACCAGGTCCAGATGGGCTACCGGCAGAATTTTATAAAACATTACAAGAATCGTTGCACATTCCATTGCTAGAAGTCATGAATGAAGTTATGTCAAATAAGAAGATACCTAAAACATGGTCAGAAGCTTACATTACACTTATTCCAAAAGAAGGGGCTGATCCATTACAAATCAAGAACTATAGACCTATTTCTTTATTGAATGCAGATTATAAAATTTTTGCTTCAATTGTGGCAGAAAGGCTTAAAAGATACTTAAATAATTTTATTCATCCCGATCAGAATGGGTTCCTGCCAAAGAGACAAATTAAAGACAATATGAGGGTAATTCTGGACACTTTGGAATATTATGAGGTGCACCCTGAAAAAAAAAATGGCTTTGATATTCCTAGATGCCCAAAAGGCATTTGATAATGTGAACTGGAGATTTATGTTACTACTACTGGAACAGATGGGTTTTGCCAGAAAATTAGAAGCCATGTATTATAAGCAAATGGCAAAAGTAATGTTAGAGGGAGAACTTACAGACTCTATTAACATAAGAAAAGGCACAAGACAAGGATGCCCATTATCACCTTTGTTATTTGTATTGACTTTGGAAGTGTTGAATAGAAATATTAGACAGGACCAAAATATAAAAGGAATGAAAATCAAAAAGGAGGAATTTAAACTACAAGCCTTTGCGGATGATTTGGTTTTCATTCTGGAAGACCCTCTAGAGACAGCTTTAAAATTATTGGAAAAGATAGAGACATATGGTGAGATGGCTGGTTTGAAAATAAATAAAGATAAAACAAAGATTCTGACAAAGAACATGTTATTAAGACAAAGAGAAGATCTGGCAGACCTATTGAAAATTCAAGTTATGAATAAAGTTAAGTATTTGGGGATATATTTGATGCCAAGATGCACTACATTGAAAGAGAATAATTATATTAAACTCAAACAGCAGATAGCACTTGATTTGAAGAAATGGGAAAACCTACAACTGTCATTGATAGGCAGAATTTCAACAATCAAGATGAATATTTTACCCAGAATTTTATATTTGTTTCAAACAATACCAATTAGGCTTGGCAAAGATTATTTTGAAGATTTAAATAAAATTGTGTTGAAGTATATATGGCAAGGTAAGAAAGCAAGAATAAAATTAAAACTTCTACAAGATGCTAGAATTAGAGGAGGATTTGGCCTTCCTAATTGGGAGTTGCATTATCAAGCTGCAAATTTGATGTGGGCCAAAGAATGGATAACATTAAGAAAGACTAGATTGTTAAACACTAGAAGGACATGATCTATTACTGGGCTGGCACGCTTTTCTGTGGTACAAGGGAACTAAATCACAGGGCTATTTTAGAAGGCATTATATACGGGAATCTTTATGGTTAAACTGGGAGAAAATTAAGAGACAATGTTATTTGAAAATCCCAGTTTGGTTATCAACTATTGAAGCTTTTTCTTATCCTATAATATGCAAGAAGGAACAAACAGTTAGATATGGGGAAATATTGGATGAAAAGGGTGAACTTAAAACGATGCAAAACTTAGAAGAACAAGGTATAAAGATGAATTGGTTTTCATATGTGCAAATACACTCAAGGTATGTTAAAGATTCTAAAGTGGAGGGATTTTATGATAATTGACTGACTTAGATAAGATTTTGACAGGTACTGATGAAAAAGTGATTAAAAAACTATATGGTTATTTACTGGAAATTAAACTAGAGGAAGAACAAGTTAAAGAAACAATGATTGCTTGGGGGAAGAATTTTGGATATGGGATTGATTTAGAGAAATGGCAAAAATTGTGGTCTCAAATTATAAAATGACAATGTCAACAGCATATAAAGAAAATTTGTATAAAATGTTTTACAGGTGGCATTTTCCCCCAACAAGAATAGCAAGAATGTTCAAGAATAAATCTGAAAAATGTTGGAAATGTCATCAGATACCTGGCTCATACTACCATATGTGGTGGACTTGTGAGGACGCTAGAAAATATTGGACTAAAATTCGCATATGGTTGGAAAAAATGATAAAGAAACATATAGATTTAAAACCAGAGAATTTTTTATTGGGAATCTTACCTGCTACATACAATAAAAATTTGAAATATTTGATTGTAAATGTATTAACAGCAGCTAGGATTGTATTTGCTAAAAATTGGAAGAGTGAGAAAATACCATCACAGGAAGAAATTATTAAGAAAATATTGGAATGTGCTGAAATGAGTAGATTGACATTCGAAATTAGAGAACAAGAAGATAAACAATTTTATGAAGTTTGAGACCTTTTCTATCAATGGTTAGATAATAAAATATAATAATAGAATATTTAGAACCTTAGGAAACAATGAATACATATTTCCTTTTTTTCTATGATATTATCTTTATAAAATTTTATTAAAATAGACTTGCTATGACTTTATGATTCGCTATAAAATAAATTAAGTAAGCTATAGTTATCTCGCTAAAGTATGAATTAATAAAATTATAGTCAAATGATTGTTTAATAATGATATCAGGCTATATAATTGTTGATTGATAATATGAGCTATTATGCAATATAACTACAATGGAGACTATGAAATGGATGCACCAAAAAAAGTGATAAACCAACCGATACACTGTCTGTAAATTCATGAAGGAAAGGATGATGTTTTTATGTTTTATGTGTTTTTTTTGTTTGTTGTTAAAATTAATAAAACTGTTTTTAAAAAAAAACACTGCATCATGCGTGCAGTGTTTGCATGCATCATACAACATTTCATTGCTGATTGCTAAGTCTGGAAAGCCACATACTATCGGTGAAGAACTCATCCTACCAGCCATAAAGTGAGGTTCTGAGTACTGTTTTGCATAAGTCACCACATGATATAATTAAGACAATTCCTCTCAGCAACAATTCAGTTCAAAGATTCATAGATGAAATGGCTGAGAATGTGGAAGATGTATTGTGCAGCATACTATGGATAACAGATTTAGTATTACAGCTGGATGAATCAACTTTGCCAGGCAATGAATCTTTCCTTCTTGCTTATGTGCGCTTTATTAAAGACGAAAGTTTGACTGAAGAGTTGTTATTTGCAAGGCAACTAAATACAGATACTAAAGGGGAATCAATATTTCATGTTGTTGAGGAGTTCTTCAAAGACAAGGAAATTCCACTAACCAACATACTTGCTTGTGCAACTGATGGAGCACCATCAATGACTGGTCGCTACCGTGGGTGTGTGGCTTACTTGAAAAAAACAGTGCCAAATGTCTTTACCATTCACTGTGTCATTCATCGCCAACAGCTGGTTGCAAAAACACTCAGTGATCGCTTGAGCAAGTCATTACACATTGTCATTACTGCAGTGAACAAAATTAAAGTACATGCTCTCAGTGATCGACTATTCCGAGAGCTCTGTGTTGAGAATGATGAAGATTTTGATTGTTTGCTGCTTCATACAGAAGTTCATTGGCCATCAAAAGGCAATTGTTTGAGATGCTTTTACAATCTTTTTGACACTGTTGCAGAGTTTTTTGAAGGCAAGAATGCTTTGCTCAGTGATGAACTCAAAGAGATCAGGCATGATATCGCTTATTTATCAGAACTGTTTACAAAGTTCAATGAAGTGAATTTGCAGTTGCAAGGAAATGAAGTCAATCTTATTAAGGCCAAATCTGTCATCTCTACATTTATTTTGAAGTTAGCTCTATTCAAGCGCAATATAGGCCGTTGTGAGCTATACCAATTTCCAAGCTTGTCTGAGCTAGAAAAGAAAGGTGGGATACAAGATGATGATCTGCATGTTTTTTGTGACCATTTGGACATGCTGCATAAAGATATGTCTGAGCAGTATCAGGATCTTATTTTGATGGAAATTCCAGATTGGGTGATAAATCAATTTTTAGATACTAAGGAAGATGGGGTAGGGGAGGAACAACTAATAGAACTGAAAAATGACATTGAGCTGAAGCCAAAGTTTAAGAAATTGGTGTGATATTTTTGATATTGATTGGTGTGCTATTGGCTATATTGATTACCCAAAATTGTTCCATTAATTAATTCAATCAACGTACTATCTTAACAAACCTACCATGCCAAGAAAAAAATCCAATGCCAAACCACAACCTAAAGAGAATTTAATCCCCAACAATGAACCACAAGACTCCTGCACATGCCTTAAATGCTACACAACTCTAAAGGATAATGAAAACTCCATCAAATGTTCTCTGTGTAACAAATACGCTCATCATGACTGCTTGGGATTACCCAAGCAATTGAATCAATACCTAGAATCATCCAATGAGTTTCCATTTCTCTGCAATTCATGCAGACCCAAACTGGATCTGTTGGAAAGAGTCGATACCATTGAAGCACGATTAACATCCCTTGACACCAAAGTAGCATCCCTGGACGCCTTAAAAGAAAGATTATCCAACCTCGAAAAAAAAGACACAACGCAAAAACCTGAACATCCAATAGCTACAAACCACATCTCTACTCAACAACCACAACCCAATCCACAACCCAATCCACAAAAAAACATAACCCAGACAAATATTGATATCCCAATCCTCATCAGAGAGGCTGTTGAGCGTGAACAGAAACGTCCAAACGCCATCTTATTTGGTCTAGAGGGCATCAATGATAATGATGACATCACAACTGTCCGAAACATCATCAGTGATTATCAAGCATCAACCATCTCCCCTGATGAAATACTTGACATTTCCCGCATTGGCCGAGAGCTCAAAAACAGTGACGGCTCTGTGACCCCACGCTTCTGCAGGGTCATTTGCAAAAATGAATCAAGCAAACACAAATTCATTTACACTATAAATTCACTCGCCAAAACCAACACCAACCATAAGAATCTCCGTTGTCGCCCTGACCTAACCATACAGCAACGTGCCCGCTCCCGTGTACTCCGCACTGAACTCAAAAAACGTCTCGACAATGGAGAGAAGGACCTGTACATTGACTACCATGCTGACTGTATCAAAAGTAAGTCACACATCCCGCAACTCAGCTTTAACCTTCAACCACAACCCTACCTCAACCAATCCACCATCACCCAAGACTAGGCACGCACGCTCCTAACTACCTCAATTCCAACTACTGCTGGCCTTAAATGCAAGCTACTCAATGCAAGAAACCTTGTAAATAAAATACCTGAATTTTTCCTCCTACTAAATATGGCTAAATTCGACATTATATTTGTCTGTGAAACATGGCTCAATGCATCTCTCCCCGACTCAATTACCACAGTAAGAGACTATCATGTTTACCGATCAGATCGTGAAATTCGTAGAGGAGGTGGTGTTGCTATCTTCTACAAAAAGTCCTTACATCTAAAAAATATCCAAGTTACCCAGGAGCTTGCTCTTCCTGAGACCATTATCTGTGAACTATCCTTAAATATCACAATTCGATTCTTACTATATTACAGAGCACCTGATTATGACATCAAACATGTAAACAAGCTAAATACACTACTAACATGGGCAGCATCCTGCCCATACCCTTTTATCTTTCTTGGTGATTTCAATCTGCCTCATATTGACTGGACCCTAAATGAATGTACAACTGAAACCATACATGCAACCTTTTACAATGCTGTTACAAATCTGGGACTGGAACAACTAGTAACCAACAACACTAGACTAAACAACTGCCTCGATCTCATCTTCTGCAATAGTTTGAATTTAATTTACGGAATACAAACTAAAGAACCCTTTTCCAGCAGTGACCACAATATGATTGACTTTTGTCTCAACATACGTCCACACAAAAACCACCACAATGATGTGATCCCCAATTATAATTTCAAAAAAGGCAACTATGATCTTATAAACAACGATCTCTCATCCCTTGATTGGCAATCTCTATTCACTGGATGCAATACTGTTGAAGACCATTACAACATATTTTTACTTGAAGTCAAAAGAGTCATCAAACTATATGTACCAACAACTACTCCCAAAACAAAACAAAAAACAGATTGCCCATAACAATAAGGAAACTTCAATCCAAAAAGAGATCACTCTGGCAGAAAAACAAATCTGGTCACGTTGCCAATTTCAAAAGCCGATACAAAAATTTATGCCACCAAATAATGACCGAATGCACCAATTATCACATTAAACAAGAGGAAAACCTTCTAAGCACCAATTCCACCAATGCTTTTTACAATTTTGTAAACAACAAACTAAAAGATTCAAGGTCCATCCCACCCCTGATAGGACCTAATGGTAAAGACTGCAACGACGACACCATTAAAGCCAACATCTTTAACACATTTTTTGGCTCAGTATTTGTAAACAGCAATGGATCATGCCCAGCATTTCCTAGCCAAACCACAGATATCTACAGTGATCTAATACATATCGATTTTACAGAAGACAATGTTGAAAAAGCACTACGCAATCTAAAACCATCCCTATCTATTGGACCGGATGGAATATGTGCCTATTTCTTAAAAAGGTTATCCACTGCCATAGCCAAACCTCTAAGCATAATCTTTGAAAAATCTTTCAGGACCAGTTCCTTGCCTAACCTATGGTCACAAGCCACAGTCATCCCCATCTTCAAAAAGGGAGACCCTAGCCTAGTTGAAAATTACAGACCAATCTCCTTATGCTGCATCACCTGTAAAGTCATGGAATCAATTATTAACCAATCCATCATCCTCCACTTAGAGACAAACAACCTACTCTCCAATAAACAATTTGGTTTCAGAAAAAAACTATCCTGTAATCTGCAACTCTTACACTGCAAAAACATATGGACTACACAACTTGATCAGGGCAAAACAATAGATGCAATCTACATAGACTTCTGTAAAGCCTTTGATTCAGTGGTACATGACAAACTACTCCTAAAAATAAAATCCTATGGTATCTCTGGACAACTGCATAACTGGATAGAAGCATTCCTGTCAAACAGACAACAAATGGTCAAAATTGGGAGTGTCCTATCAAATTCTGTACCTGTCAATAGTGGTGTCCCCCAAGGCAGTGTTCTAGGACCAACTCTCTTCATACTCTACATAAATGACCTCTGTGATCTTATTAAGAGCAACTGCGTTCTTTTCGCTGATGATGTAAAGCTGTTCAATACCACAGACAATACTGCTACCCTTCAAAAAGATCTTGACTGTGTATCAGAATGGTCAAACAAATGGCAACTTCAAATCTCAACAAATAAATGCTCTGTCTTACATATTGGCAAAAAAAATCTGAAAATAAAATACAAGCTGAATAGTCAAGATCTTGTTGATGATCCAAGCTCTGTAAAGGACCTTGGAATACTCACCTCTAATGATCTAAGTGCTAGTGCCCACTGCAACTACATAGCCAAAAAGGCATTAAGAGTTGTTAACCTAATCTTACATAGCTTTTTCTCTGGTAATATCACACTACTAACTAGAGCATACAAAACATTTGCTAGACCAATACTCGAATACAGCTCATCAGTCTGGAACCCACATTACATATCTGATATTAGCACAATTGAGAAAGTCCAGAAATATTTCACAAGAAGAGTTCTCCACTCCTCTACTCATTGTAGAATACCTTATGCCACCAGACTTGAAATTCTAGAACTAGAAAACCTTGAATTACGCCGTCTTCGGTCTGATTTAAGCATGGTATATAAAATCATACATTGCAATGTCCTACCTGTCAATGAATACTTCAGCTTCAACCATAACAACACAAGAGCACACAACAGATACAAACTCAAGGTTAACCGCACCAAGCTTGATTGCAGGAAATACGACTTCAGCAACAGAGTGGTCAATGTCTGGAATACTCTACCCGACTCTGTAGTTTCTTCCCCAAACCCCAAAAACTTTAACCTTACACTGTCTACTATTGACCTCACCCCTTTCCTAAGAGGTCTGTAGGGGGCGTGCATAAGCGCACCAACATGCCTACCGTCCCTGTCCTATTGTTTCTTTTATTTTTCTTTTATTTTTCTTATATGTGCCCATTTCATGTATTCATAATTATGTATACAATTTTACTTATTATCTCGTAAACAATTGACAAATAAATAAAATAAAATAAATAAAATAAAATAAAATAAATCATACCAAGAGTTTTGGTTACAGAAGGAAATTTCTGATTGTTATCCTGCACTATGGACAATAGTTAAGAAGCTCCTTGTTGCATTTCCAACATCATATTTGGTGGAACGTGGTTTCCAACTTCTCTCCAAGCAAAGAAATCGACTCCAGATTACTGAACGTGGTGATTTAAGACTCTTGCTAAGTGACTTAAAACCAGACATTAGGAAACTGGTATCAATTCACCAAGCACATCCATCGCATTAGTTTCACTGTTCAGTAAATTTTTAAATTGATAAATGATTATCAGACTTTGAAAACCTGGTATCACTGGATCATGTTCAACCATTTTGTTGAATTAACATTAACTTTAAAGATTTTTAAATTGGATTTTGAATAAATGTGCAATTAATTGTTACAATTTTGAATTTTACTGTTACTATCTTCTTTGGTGGGTCGTGCAAACCTCTATTCCAAATAATACTGTTTATAGGGGGTGGGGGTGGGGAACACAGAGGATGAGTTTGTAGCACCAAGGCGGAGGTGGACTGAAAAGAAAAGAAAGAAAGACAAAGGGAGGGAAGAGAAAGTGAATTAGATATCTAGTCCAACCAGCTGAGTTAGAACGGTGTGTGTGTGTGTGTGTGTGTGTGTGTGTGTGTGTGTGTGTACATGGCTGTCAAAACTCCAAAAACAGATCAAGTAGCTCTGGGGAGGCCAGTCATAAATTAGAACACTTGCTAAGCAACCTGCCATGAAGTGAGGACCATTTATATTTGGTTTGCCAGTCACCAAACCATGCCCAGTCATGTGACCAGCAAGCCACGCCCACCCAGTCACATGACCAGCAGGCCATGCCCACCCAGTCATGTGACCAGCAGGCCATGCCATCAAATTAAGCCACACCCACAGAAATTTGAATCCCGTCCCTGGGTGGGAGGCACTGAGGATGAGTTTGTAGCACAAAGTGGGTGGTGGACTGAAAAAGTTTGGGAACCACTGGTCTAGTCCTTCCAATAGTGGAAGGATAAATGTATGTCACAGATTACTTGGATTATTTCTAACCTGGTGTTGCCTTGTCCAATGAATGAATTCCTTTATGTCAGAGTATATTCATGAACTGGAATAGAGCTTGGTAACAAGGTCAGCCAATGAATAGGCAAAGCAACTAAGTCAGCCAATGAGGACTGTTTTGGAAACTGAAACTAGAAGTAGCCTAGGCTGGAAACTGAAACTAAAAGTAGCTTAGACTTGGCTCTATGTTAAGCTCTGCAACTCTGCAGCTATGTGGAGCTCTGAGTCTGTCTATTGAAGATGAAACTAACTTGCTTGCTTGCTTGCTGAAGACTGGAGCTCTGCTCTGAACTTGCAACATGTTTCTGTTTGAGTTTGCTCCATGTTGGAGAAATCTACATCTGGTTTGTAAAATCTACTTATGTTTATAAAGATGTTAAATGAAGCATCAGCCATCTGTGTTTATTTTTCTGGTGCTGAATTATCGCTGAAAAACTCTCAATACTTTAAAATTCATTTATGCCTTCCAATTACACTGCAATATGTCGTCATAAAATACTTGCTACCAGTCTGCATTTCATTGAAGACTTATATACTGAATGAGCCAGAAAGAGAGCTGTGAAAATATCTACAAACCTCTAACATCCTGGACATAAACTATTTCAACTCCTAACTGCTACGCTGTAGGGCGTTGTACACCAAAACAACTAGAAACATAAACAGTTTTTCACCCATTCCATCACTCTGCTAAGCAATTCTTAATTCCCACAACACCGTCAAACTATCTGGTAAGGCTGCATTAGTATTATTATTCTCATCTTTCTATTATCTTTCTCCTTATCTTCTTATGACTATAGCTTTGTTGCTTGTATTTTATGATTTATATTGTTATTTAAAATCCTAGCATGATTTATGTTGATTACTTATTTAATATCGACCAAGTGTTGTATCTTACAATTTATGATGAATGTTCCAAGTTTCTCTTGATTAAAAGGAATTATTGGGGAAAGTAATCCAGTTTACAACATCAAAACCTGTAATTAGTTCTCTGTTTTCATCAAATCTAATAGTTTCTCCCATGCTGTTGTTGAATATGATGCTTTTTAAGAAAAAATGGAACTAGATTATTTTTAAAAAATGAGAAAAAACTAACAGTAAGACTTTGTAATCATAACCACTGTGTAAAACTAGTTCAAGCTGAACTAGCTTGCTTTGAAAAATGTAAATGAGGATTGAATATGTCTTCAAGTCCTTTGACAAAATGTCCACAATTGCTTTGCCATTGCATCCCTTTTAGGATTGAGAGAGAGTGACTGGTCTAAACTCACCAGTTGGTTTTGTGCCTGCACAAGAGTAGAAGAAACATCCCCCAATTTCTAGTCTGGTACATTAACCAAAATGGTTGTCATCCTACATCTCATATTTTATAATATGAAATATGCATAATGACAGCCAGTGTCTGTCTTCCAGGGCATTACTTGTTGACTTTTAATCCCTTTTAACCACTGTAATGTTAACCTCATTTTTTCAAAATACTTAATGTAATTGTTGTTATCTTCAAAGCAGAGGTTTATGTTATATAAATTATAATGGTTGTTGTGATAAATAGAATTTCCAGGAACATAAGGGAAATTAACCACAATGATTTTCCTAATTAGAAAACGCATGCTTTTAGCTGCATAGAATATGAACAAACTCCAGAATGGATTCTCAAATAGTGTTTCTCATGATATTTATTCTCAAAATAGCCAGTCCTCGTTGACACAGATGAATTACCTACATCATGGATTCCAAACCAATAGACCATAGCCTGTAACAGGATAGCAAGCACAGGTGCAGCTCCATTTGCATAAGCAATGAGCAGGGACTCTCATGCATTAAGCCTCTCAGACAAATAGACCTTCACTTGCACACATGAGAGTGCCTGCCACTTGTGCAAGTGGAGCTGCATGTCTGCCACACAGAGAGAACCACTTCCTCTCTCTCCCACTCCCCAGTCCACAAAACGATAAATGTTGGGGACTACTGATCTACATTTAATAACCCAACTGGACCATTAGAAGGCACAGTTTTATCTTTACTGCATTCTGAAACTCTAAACAACATAAAAACTTAATCTTAACATATTGTTCCTTTCCACTTCAACACTTCAACAACCTCACTTCCTAATTGGACATGACCTCAGAAGGATGGAATGCTGAGTCAACCTTGAGCGTGGTGAGATTCAAACAGCCAAATTGCAGGCAACCAGCAGTTAGCAGAAGTAGCCTGCAGTACTGCATTCTAACCACTGCACCACCTCAGCTCATAAGCTTTCTTCAGCTCTTATGTACTCAAAGCTATAAAGCAGTACATCATGAAGGTTCAAAGAAGATCATAGAACAAGCTCCACTGTTTACTAAGAGGCATAAACTTCAGGCTGCAGGTGATGAAAGTTGCCCAGAGGAAGTGGAGGAAACACTGAAATGTCCTTCACCCTTAACTAGCAAAACTTTTTCAAAAGGATTGCTCAGTGTTCTCCCAATGCTAGTTACAAAGACAAAACTCAATGACAGTTCAGATGACTGTTTGAAGGGACTGGGGAAAGGCAACACTTGTTGCTGCCTTGACAAGTGTTAGAAAGAAACAGTTATAACTCATTAACAGAGAGGGTACCTTGCCGTGGTGGTATGCTACTGGTTTGGACAAGTTCAGCTGAACCACTAGTAAAAAAAATAGTATCCCACGATCAGCTGAGAGGAGGAAAAAAATCATCTGACAATCAGCTGACAACCCTTCCACCCGCCCTTGCCCTTTTCTCTTTTTTATCCTTTCAGCTGATTGGCACTGCAGGCCCCAGCTGGTGTGGAGAAAGGTGTGTGCATGCATTAGGGTGTGCATGTTATAGGTGCGCAAACATGTGCGTGAACACCAATTGGTAGTAGAACAGGTAGGATCCCACTGTTGGTATGTTGCATCTACTTCCAAAAGTAACTCTTTTATGTAATATGTGGCCTTTGGAAGAAATGTAGGTGTCTTAATAGACTACCCATTAAGTGTGAGCCAGCAGTTTGCTGCAACTGCCAAACTAGCTGAAGCAGTACTAGGTACTAGATAGTTCACAGTACTACATTATGCTGCACTAGTGATAACCACACTTGGAATACTGTGTCCAATTCTGGATACCCTGATATAAAAGGTATATCAGGGTTTATACCAGGTTGTGGTCAAAGAAAGAGTGAGGTGAAGAGTAATAAAGATGATAAGGACTTCTGATGGTGTTCTTGTCGACAACGGAGCAGAGACTGTGATCGTGCGTGGCTTTGATCCATGCTTACCCTGTGGGAGGGGTCCTTAAAGGACTGGATCCATCTGATCCACCTCAGAGGGGTGGGGGGAAGAGGGGGAGACCACCAGCTGGGTTGAGGGGAGCCACATCTTTCCTCCCTGGCTTGGTAAACTCTCCTAAAAGACAGGGAGAAGTGGCAGTCTTAATGGCTGCCCTGAAGATGGGAAGCTGCCAGGACACAAGTTTTGTGCTGGAGAGTGGAAGTGGTGAGCGGTGTGTAACTGGATAAAAGACTTTGAATACTCTTGTTGAAAACCCCAAAAAAGCTGAAAGAAGGAGCCCTCGTTTCAAAGAGTGGTAATGGTGAATCATAAATAAGAGGAAAATATAAGGTAAAGAAAGAACTGGAAATAAAAGAATTATATACAATTAGAGACTAAATTTGGAACAATATATAGCATTGGACAGTAATTAGGCATTAGATAAAATTCTGGAGTTATTTTGAACTGATAAAATTTAATATTAATACCATGGGAAAGTGATTTAAAATAAAAGAATTCTGAGAAGTGATATAGAACACCACTTAAGGGTTTAATATTTCCCTCTTTTATGTCTCTATGGGAACCTATCAGATGTACAAACAAGATCCCTGGAAGCTCATAAAAAAGAAGTGGGGATTATAGTAAAATGTAAAAGAATGCAATACTTTGGGATTGTTGGTGGTTGACGGTGATAAGGGAACAGAAGAAAAAGAAAGTGAGATAAATGGAGATTTTTGACAAAGACTATAATAGAAAAACTTGACTTTTAATAAAATAAAGAATAACTTGAAAGATCAAAGAAATGGAAGAAATAAGCAAAGAATTTAAATCCGAGCTCCAAACAGTGAGAGATATGCTTTTTTTTAATTCAGTTTTTCACATTAAAAACAAAAATCTCTTTTTAGTGGACAACATGTTTCTGGGTCATCACCTTTACATACAAA